TAGCTTGACCCTCGTCTTCTTCTTCACTTATTCAAGAGAGAATTAGATTTCTTTTGGGGTCTTGAAATAATGACTTACAATGAATGAATATAAAGGCCTAAAGCACTTGTATAGGTGGTCTAAACTAGGGTAAAATGACACTACTTAATTCTAAATAAAACTAGAAAAGACCTTTATATCCTTAATCTTAACCGCCTTAACTCCGAAAAATGCCTACCCACGAGATCACGTCAACGGACCGTTGATGGACCTACGGTCCGTCCTGGTCATCCGTGACTAGGTACTTGCTGGAATTAGGCTTAATCATCCCATTTTGGATATGGGTGCTACCCTGACCCTTTCATTTAGCCCTAATTTAGCCTACTAAATTTTTAATTGTTACAATTTTAGTACATAATCACAATGAACTGGTAGGATCATTGACTAGTTTCAGTAAATAAGATATGAACATGCAATCACAACTTAGTAATTAGATAATACACAATTATAAACTCAAGCACAATATGACCTAGTACCCGTTTTCATTGTTAGTGTACCGATATGGTACCCATTTCAATAATAGTATGCAATGACATGAAATCTATTCTAATAATTGAATCTAACGGCATAATATACGTTCCAATTATTAATATGCCAACGTTGTATCTGATCCCATCATCAAATACACAACCACAACGAACATTAATCATACACTCAACTAGCACATTCATTTCATGCAATTGACATCGTCTTTTATTTCAATCATGTTTTTTACCTAACCATGTATCATGCATGCAATAGTAGTGAAGCAATAGACAAACACATATGACATAAATGAAAAACACAAAGAACTATTACTTGACTCGAATCAAACCTTCGTAGCTCTATTGAATTGGACTCTTCCCTTTTTGTAATGATTTTACATGGTTTTGGTCTAAAGCAGTAATAAAATACAACAATCAATGAAAAATGACCTAATTATATCGAGATTATAATCTAATCTTGAACCTTATCCAGTCTCATATTCATCCCACCAAATCCAGGGTCCTCCCACCATTACTCCTAAGTCAATTTCTCCCATAAGGTCACTCAACAAGGATTCTAAGGTCTAAGAACTACAATACTAGAGTAACAAAATAATTAATTTACCGTTATTGATGAAGTTAATGGAAATAGGTCGAATTTCACTCTAGGTCTCCCATTTTTCTTCGCAAAACTTAATTGCAGAGTTATGAGAGGATTAGAGAAAATTTCTGTATAAACTCGTGACTAACCCCTGTATAGTTGTCCAATCCGCTATAGCGAGAATCAATCCGCCTGGCTATAGCATCATGTCAACCGCTATAACCGATCACACAAAGATAGAAACTCAAAACTTTTCCCCAAAGCCTCAATTTTACAACACACCTTCGAACCTTGACATTCTAAACCAATCCTTTTATGACAAATTTGATATCAAAAGTTTTACCCATTCGAACTCACTTTTGAAAGTTCCTATGTATTTTTTAATGTCTTAGCAAATATAAAATATGATACAATCTTAGATATACTACCCAATCCATTTTCAGTATTTCTTGGACAACGCCTCATTTAGATGTCATCTTAGACTAGCGTAACCTAAGATTTTCAAATCACTATTTAAAAAATTATGTTGCCTCAATTCGTTCACGATGACCTTCCCATAACAACTGTAAAAGGATCGCTACGATCCCTATCCTAGGTAAAAATCAACCTTTATTTTCACAAAAAAATGATTTCTCTCCCGTTTCACATTCTATCTTCTCAATTTCTCTCCCAAATTCATTTGCGATATCACTTTCGACTTAACTTAGCTATTAAAATTTTTATTAACCCGTAACTTTATAACAACATAATAAACACCATAATATGTTAATCTCTTAACATATATACTCATTCTTGACCTTATATTTTCGAGGTCATACAAATTCTTCGACTTTTAATAACAATTAATACTCTTTATAAAGGTTCCTTTTCTTTTCTTTATTTTTGTACTTTGTCAAATACACATACATATAAATACACTATCCATTGAATGAGAAAGACACAACATTTCCTAATTATTTTCTCTCTTAATATATATATATATATATATATGATAGAAAGAACAATTAAGAAATTATATATTAGGGAGCTAGCTGGAAAAGAGTAAGATTCAGCTTTTCAGCAAGAGAGACAACACAGACCAGCAATAGCTTCCATTTTTGAGATCAGTCATTAAAAAAATTCTCTCAAGTACAAGCATTTGAACTTTTGAAGTACAGGTCTACTACTTGGTTAAATAGAGTTACAATATATTAGTTATGAGAAATTTCACTACATCTAATATGATCTTTAGCGCGTCAAATGCTTAATTGCTGTTAAATACATATTTTTAGCAACAATCGACATTCTTTGTAAATGTCCACAAAGCCTAAAGATTTTATCACTCTTCATTAATGAATATATGTACTGTCGCTAAAATTGATTTTTGTTGTGGTGTTTATGTATTATTTTATACAAAGTTTAGTTATTCCCTCTTCGTCATACTTCCTCATAAATTATACACATATTGTATAAGTTATTCAGGTCTCTAAATAGAAATTAAACACCGTATCAATTTTATATATAAATAATTTACTTTCTAACCAGCTACGTATCAAACAACGTATCACTTATATAAAATTATATGTACATAACTCACTTTCAAATCAGCTACTAAACGTTCCTAAATTATTTAATTAGACAAAGTCTTTTGAACTTTTGAAGGATAACTCTACTAGTTGCTTGGATAGAGAAATGATAGTACAACAAAGTTGAAGAAATAATTAGTAATTAATTAGACAAGTCATTAGAGAAAACAGGACAGTTGGTTTGCAGGGAGGGTGGGAAGCACATGCTCCATGCTTCTGAATAGTAAAAGCATTTGGGAAAGGGAGAACTCTGAGATATCAGAGGAGGAAGGGAATGTTTTCTGTGGTTCTTGGGTTTAGTGCTTATTTTTAAAAGAAAAATAAATGTCATGTATTCCAAAACCCACCCTTTTATGTCATTCATTTCTTTATAATTGCCTATTAATTAACCACTTTGCACTAATCGATAGCTGGTTTGAATATGAGTTATGTATGAAATTCAATATGTTATATTTAGTAATTGATTAACAGATAAATTATTCGTATATAAGATTAATATTGTGTTTGATTTGATATTAATATGTATATAAGTAGCAAAAGTTTTTAAGAATTATTAGATATAGAGTAGAAGATGAAAAAACTGATAGTTATATAAACATAACCAATACATGCATACATTATACATAAATCTCATGTAACTGCTCTTTATATCACTAATACTTGCATAACTCTCATCAATAATGTATATGTTACTAATTCTTCAATTTTAATTGATTTATTTTACTTTAGTAAGTAGGTTTAAAAAATATATCACTTTCTATATTTAATACCTTTTTATCTCAATTTATATAACATGTTTGTCTTTTCAAAAGTTTTATTATCTTTTTCTTAAATTTTATGTTAACTCAAATAGTGTAACGTAAATTGAAATTGATAGAATAATTCTTTGAACCAAACATCAAACGTGATATATTAAAGACCGATAAATTTAAAGAACATTTTAATATAAAATTTGATAAAAATTAAGACAAATAAATTAAAACGAATAGAGAACTGCAGGCAGGTGGTAGTATAATTATTCTTTTACCAATCGTACACATATCTCAACATGTATACCATTGTTAATTACTCATTTAAGGTAAACGATATGGGTAATTCAATAAAATAATACTACAAAAAATTTAATGATTCATAGATCAATATTCTCAATACTAGCAAATATAATAAGAAATTTTTAATGAAAAGAAGTTAATTAGTAAGATAATTAGATTTCTAATCAAACATGAATTGATTGCAAAAAAAGAATTTACGAATTCCAAGCAAGGATTAGATGCCCAAAAGACATTGAATAAAAGCTAAAAGGGACCTTTATGTGATATCTGGAAAAAGAGATAACTTTTATGATAATTTTGGGGCTGACATTATCCCCCACCCCCACACCACCCCACCCCACCCCCAACAACCCACCCACCCCCACAAATGCAATTTTTTTTTATATAGGTGGAACATGTATTTGTTTTATTAATTAAGTCAAAATATTACTATTGTTAAACAAAGAAGAATATATTCTAAAGTATAAACATTGCTTAATTTTTTGATACAACGAATAGTGTAAAGGATTATTTTTTTTTTCATTATCAAGTTACTTCAAATATAATTACAACTAATAACTCATATAATAAGTAAATATAGTTAATTAAGAAGGGGAATCAATCTATTAGTTCTGATTTTTTTTTTTTAAAAAAAACTCTCTTCTATCTCAATTTATATCATTTATATATGTATTAATTGTAATTCTCTTTTAATTTTGTTTTTAAATGCAATACTTTTTGCTTAGAAATAATCTATTTCTCAGTTTACTTTAAAATAATTGACTTTGCAGTTCATTTACCATTTTTTCTTAGCTACACAAAATAAATTTTCATTTTTATATATAAGAAATCTGAAAAACAAAGTCATTTTCTTCTAGTCATTTTGTTCGTGGCGATGAGATATTAATTATGATAAATAATTTTCACCTTTTCATCCTAAGAACTCCTATCCATTTTTACTCCCTTAATAACTTGAACTCATAGCCTTCTTATTAGAAGCAGGGACGGACCTACAGTGGATGAACCCACTTTATTGAAAAATAACATCATATATATATATATATTTAATCAGTTTAAAAAATTTATATATATATATATATATATATATATATATATATATATAAATTTTTGACCCCATTAACACAAATATGATCCTTGACCGAGTAGTGAAGAGAGTTCAATTTTCATAGTCAACCCGACTTCAAATCCTTGATGAATTCGCCACTATTAGAAGTAAAGAGTACTTATCATTCGAGCAACTCTCTCCTCGATTATAATATAAATAGAGATATACAAGAAGAATATAATATAAATAAAATACTATGTCCACAAGTGACTTACCACCATCTATTTTTACCCCTATGGGAAAAAGAAAAAAAAACAAATGTCATCCCTTACAAGCTTCCAAACAAAGAGAATTAATGGAAAGTGAGATTTTCAGGTAGCTAAGTATTATTCTCCTTCTTGTCCCTTTTTATGATATTTTGTCCATCATAAGAAAAAAAAAATCATATAGTATATATATATATTATTACAAGAAACTTTTCTTCTGCTAGTCAATGGATATCTCTATCTCCATTATTTCAAGAAAACATGTTTTTTCTTCCCAAAAATATCACTAAAACATATCTCTCTTCTTCTTTCTATGGCTTACATTAAAGAGATCAACGTAATTTTCGACGATATCTCTTATTTCTTCTCTTTTTTCTCAAGGATATCAATATGACTATGATCAATCCTTGTGAAAATATTTCAAGAGAGAATTTAATTCGAAGGAGTACTAGTGTTTATGGTTTTGGTTTAGGTGATTACGATAGTAATTTTAATCTTATGACCCGATTAGATGCTGAAGATGATGATGAATATTATGTTCAACGAGATAATTCATATGTTTTAGGGTCGGATCTAGCAATAATGGCTGAAGATGAGTCAAGAACCGGAAGTATTAATGAAACTGGTTTGAGTTCTAAAGATAACAACAATGATAATACTAACAACAAGAACCACAAGGAGGAGGAAGAGGACGAAGAGGAAAAAGGGTGGCTTCAGTTAAGTATTGGTGGGCGTACCTATATGCCCACCAGTAATAAGCCAGAAGAGAATTCTAGAAGATCAACAGGTGGAAGTGGACTAGTGGAACTTGATCTATTACCAACTGTTAGTTCCCAACAAGGGAAACCAACAGTACATATAAATGAATTTCGAGCACCACCATCACTATCAACACCTCGAAGATATCAACAACAGTTTCTGACTACTAGTAGTACTACTACTTCTACTACATCATCGTCTTTGTTTTTACAACAATATCCAGGGATGGGTGTAGGAAGTAGTTCTACGAATATGTTTCCACAACAACAAGAGATTATTAATTGGGGTTTTAGACCTATGACCGCGCCAATCCAACAGAATATGAATCTGTCTCTAGTGTCATCAGGTTCACATTTTGGTCCTGGACCATTCCCAGTACTGGGAGGGGTTCCAGGACCAAGTTCTATAGATTTTCGGGTTGTTCATCCACCTCGAAGACCACATTCTGGGTTATGGTTTTCATTACAATCATCTTTAAATCAGTAAGTAAATACAAAATTCAAAAAATAAAAATCATTGCTAATTTGTTGTTAAATTGCTTCATTTTGATAATTTATCTCTAATTCATAAGATTAGTAACGAATTTACTTTTTAGCTACATAATTATTTTTTTAAATTTTCCTATAGCTTGTTTAATCTCTTCCAAATTATCTTCAAAATATGAATGGCTAAATTTGTGTACTTTTGCTTTATGATGCAGAACAAAAGAACCCTTTTTGCCACAAATATCCAAGAGCTACCTTAGGATCAAGTAAGTCAAATTTCATTATTATAGAAACTTCATATTTCTTTTAATTTTTGTTAACATTTTAACTTATTTCATTTTTTTTTGTGGTTATTTTCATAATTGTTAAAGAGATGGGAGGATGACAATACGACTAGTCTTGAAGTATTTGGTCAATAAGCTACAATTGGAAAATGAATCAGAGGTATGTAACCCACCATTGCATTTCTATTCTCTTGTTTGACACCTTCCTGGTTGATTTCTCAGATAGTCACTCGTTATTACTTTAGAAAGTCATTCTTCTTTTTATTCTACTTATGTTTAGCAATAAAGAGAGCGATTCTAAGATAATAACAATTAGTTGAATAATTATCTGATCGCGTGGCTTTAATTTAGAACAAATGTTCCATACTTGATAAACCGTTAACTATAGGACTCTAAGAAGAACTAATAACACCAATATAATGTTTAAACCATTAAATTCATAACATGTTATGGTTGGTGTGGGGAAAAAACATGAAAGAAACAGCAGAACTAATTAATTATTAATGGTTTTATTTAGGGCAATTTTAATTATGGATTGAGGGAACTTCATAGTTAGGTGGGAGGTACATTTTCTAGGTAGCTATCCATCTTCATTCATTCTTTCTCTTTTTGTATTATTAGCTTAAGATCTTTGTTTAAACTACTTATAATTAGGGAAGTGCAAGAGTAGAAAAAATATATGTAGGGATTATTAATTAGAACATTGTTATTATTCTATTATTTAATGATTTTAGAGTATGGACAAAGTAATAAACACAAGAAAAAGAAAACTACATGCTACCTTATTAGCCCCAAAATCACTCAAATATTCTTTTTGTTAATAGAAATAAATCTTTGCACTTTTGATGACTTTCACGGTTCGTTTCATTTCATTTACTTTCAAGAAAGTAACATTTCCAATCTTTGTGGAATGATCCATATATATAGGTGGATTTAGAGCGAGCGTTGTAGGGTCAGGGCCTGAACGTTATATAATTAAGTAATAAAAGTGGTTTTCTTTATAAAAGTTTAAACGTTTGAATGAAATGATCACATACTTTAAAATGATATTAAAGTAAGTAAAAGGTTCTGAGTTCAAATCTCACCGTCTTCCCAAAAGCACAAAAACATATATATGCAATAAAGTTGGTTCATGAATAAAGGAAAATCAGACCCACACATGAGACATTGTGTTAACATATAATATACTGTAGTTAAATAACTAATGAGATGATGACATACTTCAGTACAAAACTGAACCTATTGCTTTGTATTCAAATTTGTGTGTATAGATGTAAAACATTTAAAAAATATACCTATAATAAGATCATACTTACTGAACCTCAAAGCATGGTTGATTCCTTTCTTATGTAGATTTTGAATGATTTAGAGAAAAGTCACTTTCTAAATTAGATAATTTTATAAATTCAATATTCCATGTAACATATTTAAGACAATCAGATTCAAAAATCAATTTTGATATATTATACATATCTTAATTTAAGATTATAATATTAATAAGAATTACTTTATTAAACTTCGTATTCAGTTAAACGAAAACACATTTTGGAATATAAATGCCTAGCACTTCTATTTTGATGAAACCTTTTTTCCCATATTATACCAAACATGTCCATAGCGTAAAGCTTCCAAAAGTCTCCAAAACCCATATAGATATAAGAAATTTCTTCCTTTTCATCCCCCTTTATTAGTGAAAAACATAATAAAGTTTTTTTTTTGCTTTTTTAAAAAAATTCTATTAATGAGTAATTTATTTTTTTGGTTCAAGTATTATATTATATAAATGGATTTCTTGAGCGGAAAAGCTATACAAAATAATTTCTCTATTTTATATATTGAGGTTAGGTCTACGTATATTCTATCCTTTCGGTATCTATTTTATGAGACTATACTGAATATGTTGTTGTTGTCGTCATCGTATTGCACGTATTCACTCTTCCTCATTTAGACTTACATTTTTTCTTCTATCATTTCCCTGATAATAATCAGAAATGGTTTTAAAATAAATTTAAAACTAAGAAACTTAAATAAGGTTTCCAAATTATAACATCCATCACTTTAATTCCATCTTTTTCCTATTGCATTCATCTTGCATTTAATATCTATGTGCATGAAAGAATAGAATAGAAAATGGATTATTTATATTTTTAGTATACTAATATGAATTAATTATTTCTAATTTTGTTATATATGGTGTTGTAGAATATTCATATGAATTCATCAATTAATTAGCCAATTGGGCAGTTAAAAAGAGAAGTTATATTAACTTCTTATTATCTCAAAATCCCAGCAACTTCTCCACATTAACCCTTAATTAAACTCAACCACAAAAGATTAATTAATTAATTAATAATCTAAATTGGAAATCAATAAATAATTACATAAAAGAATGTCAAGTGATTTGCATGCATGTATAGACAAAAGAAACAGTCAATCATATAGTTGTTTCTTCTTAAACTTTTATTTTATTTTATTTTGATGTTAGGATCCTTTAAGATTCATTCATATTAATGATTGTTAATAATATCTGTTAAGAACCAGCTATATATTTACATCAAATGTTATTAAATAATTAGCTAAAAGAAAATTCTCTTTTCGAAGTTGCTTCTATAGAATAAAATAATTTTTCTTTACCTACCTAAAATAATATAACTTGTATTAGGGTTTTTATCATAAACACATACTAAAAAGATACGACTTTGAATAGATTAAAGTTTTAAGTTGTTAGGATGTATGACATATAACATTAGTATATTTCATAAACATTCCATACATACTATTTATTAGGACTCATTATAATGTATTTATGATAGGTCAACCCTTATACCCCGACTAATTCGATGCCACATGGTTTTTATTATTCTTTCTTTATTTTGTACGATATTCATGTTAGAGTCGGATTAATCCAGATTCACTCTTCGTAGGATCCATTTGGAGGAAAACACTCCTTACCAATTTTTTTTTCATATTCAGAGGTCAAAACCTAAACCTCTGATTAAGAAAGAAGCAATCTTATCTGTTGCACCACATTCTTTGATGGTGCGGTACATAATAACATATCCTTAAAAGAAGTACTAATATAAATACAGTTTAAGTTATATACACTGCCAGATAGTATAATCTTGAAAATACGATAAGTTCTACCGGCTAAAAAAATTAAAAGTGGCTTGATGGTGTAAAATTTAGTATATAACTTAAAAGTCTTAAACTCAAATTAAATATACATTTCTTTAGCGCAAAAAATGCACCTTACATGTACCAACAATCTTTATCTAAAACGATAAACTCAACGAAAATAATTATTTAATCAAATTAATATATTGACCTAACATTATTCAATTAATTAATAAGAAATGAAGCTATTTCTAATTCTACGTGTTACTTGTTGCATATATATATTTTTATTTTGTAAGCATTGAAATTATGTAATTGTGGCATGCTTTCGTAGAATGTATAGGTTGTACTTGTTTAATAATGTTGCTTCTTAATATTCACGAATGGGTACATTATGTATCATTGCCGTCTTAATGTTATTATTATTTGGCCTTTATTTGTATGTCCTACCCAAGTTGACTTGAGTTTTTGGTTATCATGTCTTGTGTTTACTCAAATTTCACAAAAAAAAAAAAGAGAAACAATTCTCTAACACGTCATGGCAACTAAGTGACAAATGATTAAAGTTGTAATGGTAGGGAATATGATATCAATGATAGTTCATACCATAATTGTATATATATTTTCTTTTTCTTTCCTTAATTTGCATTACCTAATCATATAGGTATTGCTTACATCTAAGTTTCTAGGAGGTTTAAGGGGTTGTTTGGTACTAAAACTCAGTATTATTATTATTCTTATACGCCCTACTAAATTATGCTTAAGTATGCGATCATCGTCATTTAAAAGTTTAATTAGATTCCGAGAGTATATTATTATTCACTTAATTATATCTTATCTCATATGCTAACTTTGAGTCTTTGATTCCTTTTTTATGATCTAAACTAGTAGAAATTCTTTTAAATTAAGGGGGATAATGTGACCCAAACTCGATGATATTTGTCTGCTCTAATGTCATATGCTAATGTGTAATCTATATGTAAGTTGTTAGAATACGTATCTAACGAATCTTATATATATATATATATATATATATATATATATATATATATATATATATATATATATAAACCCTTTTTTTACCCTAAAGTTTAAGCAAGGAAGAATCGTAGAATTTTAGATTTTCCAAATAGAAAGATAGATTTTCAAAAAGCATACAATCTTCCCTTTTTTTACGGTCTAATTTGCACTTAATAATGAAATTATATTTGTTGAGGCAAATGTGGAATAGTGCATTGACTTTTAACTAGGGAAAAAAAAGAAGAAATTGAACATGTTCAACTAATTGTATGTATTTAACTAGTTTGGGCGGTTCTGGATGTTGAGTTATAATTAGATAAATAGAAGTATTATAATAATTTAATCTTCTAAATATGATAGATATTTGAGAAATATAAAGGGCCTAAGAGTCAAATTAAATATCAAGACCATTTATTATCCTAACTTTTCTGTGCTTAATTCATGAAAAAAAATTAAACCAAACATATCATATTGATGAGGCATTAAATAATTAATTAAGGAATCGTTTAAACGTTTGGTTATTAGTTAGAATTATGCATATATTAGTAATCAAGAATTAGTTAGTTTAGATGTTTGGTTATTAGTTAGAATTAGTAATCGAGAATTAGTTAGTTTAGACGTTTGATTATTAATTAGAATTATGCATATATTAATAATCGAGAATTAGTTAGGACTTAGGTAAGATTTAGCTATTTATATAGTAATAATTAAGTTATGTCATTTTTCTATCCAACATAAAATGATATATAAATTACCTCATAATTTATACATATAGCTAACCAAATTTCATATTTGGTGGGTATATAGAATTTCATGAGTAGTAAAAAATAGCTACTAGACATGATACAAGTTGATGGAAATTTAATAAATAAATAAATTACTAGATTCTAACTAGCTATTGAACGATCTTATATTCAGTTTAGAAAATCAGAATTATCAATATAATATCATATTACATAGAAATTTTGAGTTCAAATCTTAACGCCACTTAAAAAAATAAAATATACCTTTATATATCTAATCATAAAAAGAATCAGATCCGCACGTAAAGAACACGTCATCTTGAACCCTAACACACTAAATTTTTGCATGGCCTTAATTTGCCCTTATCAATTATCATCATGACTCTATACATGACAATGAGTTTCGTCATGCTTTCGTTCATTTCAACTCAACTATGCCATGGAGAATTGTAGGACCCAACACCCTCTTATTTTCTCATAGATAATTAATAATATTTAAAGTTTAAACCCTTTATTTTCTTCCCCTCTTTTTCCTCTAAGTGGTGCACTTTGATAGAATCAAAAAGAAACTTTTTGTCCATTTAAAAAGTAACCCTAAAGAAAATAAAAAATTTAATTTAGAATTTAAAATTTATATATTAATTTTAGATAATAATAACTAAATTTATAATTAAGTATTTATAAAAAAAATTAATATACTTATAAATATAACTAAAAGTTATTATATTATTAATAATTTGTATCTGAAGAACTAATTCCGTCTCGAAAAAATAGTAATAGAATAAAAGAAAGGAACACGTCGGAGGAAAGCAATGCATGAGCTATTAGTCTATTGCAAAATCATTACGAATGGTTCAAAAGAGACAAAATTAGAGTAGAATAGTTAAATATTTATTAGTAATAATAAATAATTATATTAATAGCCGACAAATTAAGAAAAAGTAATAAGAGTATAATTTAATAATTATTTAATTCCGCTAAATTAGGATGGATAAAATGATCTTTAAAATAATGAAGCTAAAGTCTCATAATTATTCATGAAGGAATATTGACCTTCATTTCACATTTTTTTGTTGCTTTTTCCTTTTTTTTTTTAAATCTAAGTTTATTCTCTTTTGAAGAATTGATAGAGAAAAAGCAACGTGAATGAGACGTGCATGAATATGAAAATAGGATCATAGGTTATATGACAATAAAGTGCTATGTACAACTCATGTAGAGTTTATTTTGTTTGTTTTTCCCTTTTGTAGATAGAAATTAGGTACTCCACCTTCCAATTTTTGTGGTGGAATTTGATTGATTGTAAAGTTTAAAAAAAAAGAAGAAAAAAGATGTTTATTGGTGATTAAAAGTACTTTATATATGTGATTTTAAATTATTTTATTAAGGAAAAAAAAATATATTTTAGAATTAAATTGTTATTTCCTTCTCTTTTATTAATAGTTCATCCAAAAATAATCCATCCAAAAAAAGAACATTCTCTTATTTTAGTTTAGTACTCATTATTTAATTTTTAATATACAAATTATTTTTAATCACATAATAACACCTACTAGTTGCATCTTACTACATATCACAAATTTCAAAAAAAAAATTATTTCTTAAATTTTATATCCAATCAAACTCATTCACATAAATTAGGACAAAGAAGATACAAAATACGAAAGGATATCATTTTTCTTTGTTGGATAAACTACAAATAGAAATAAATTTGAACGGAGGGGGATATTTAAGGAATAGTCATCAATATATACTGTTCAACCATCTAATTTATCAAATATGAACGAAGTATACATTACCTATTCACTTGATTGTATGGTATGTATATGTTGTGTATTTGTATGCATATTATGTATATTTTTTATGTATATGTAGATATAGTATATGTATATTAGTATAAAGTATACACTATTTATACTCCATATACATATTTTCTTTTTGTTTTTTTTTCTCCATCATATATTTATCTGTCAATTCTAAGGATAAAAAAATATTTTTTTCTATCAATTACTAAGATATGGTAAATCTTTACATCATAATCAGGGAGTACATATATTTATTTTATTTGAAGAATTCTAGGGTATAATCATTCTAGATTAGAAGCAAAGTCTAAGTGGACCTCTAATATGATTAAAGTTTGTAGTAATTTTCAACCATGGGATAGGTGGGTTGCCCGACCCATTTGGTCTGTTCTTACTTACTTCTTGTTTTTTGCATATTGATTTCACACGTGTATACATTAATAAATATACAAAATAATAATTATTAGTGTATTTTAATGTGTTATAACATGTTAATTATCTTATTTAGTGATTAAAATATTAATTAATTCCATTAATAATGAGTTGTTAAAGTGGATTCAAAATGTTTGCAAAACTCTTATATTTACCTTTTTTAGCCAAGCATTTAGCAAGTTGCTTTCATGAGTTATGCTCATCATGTCAAGTGGATTGTCATGTTATTCATGATTCAAATAAGCATTCATACTATGTGACATTGAAATTACGCTTAAAGTAGGTCTTAGGTCTAACTCACACCCTAAAAGCTTGCTATAAGGGAGGAGGATTACCCAAACATTATAAGGAGTCCACCCATCTTATTAATCACCAATGTGAGATTTTTGTTATTCTTTTACACCCATCTCACGCCTAGTGGTTCGCATCTGGTGCATGGACAATTTTAATTTTGGAGGCCCCAATATCTGTGTGAGCACGAGCAAAAATAAGGTATTAGAAGGAGGTTAAGGGTGGAACTAAATATATATA